ACACACACACACACACACACACACACACACACACACACACACCAAACATAACTAACTACTGGAGAAGATGGTGGAACACGCGGGAAAGCGCCCCATGAACAAACAGACGTTTATTTATAACTCGAGGGAGAGTATATAGGTCCATTGATTCCCGCCTTGAGCAACCAAGGGTTTTGGAGAGGAAATGGCTTCATATTTCAATAACAGAGCCACCTTTGATGGAGCTTAGGAAAGTCGGAAAAAAAGAAACACTGCAGGAAGCAAACGGCCGTTGAAGCAACAGGGAGGAGGGAGTGGGTCTGGCCTGGGACTGAGGACAAGCAAACAAGCCTGAGGGGCCCATTGCGGCGGAGGAGGCCAGAGCCATCCGCCCCAGAGCCGCTGCCCAGGCGGGAAGGGGAAGGCGCTTCCTCACCTCCCTGGCCACCGCTCGGTCGGGGCTCAGGCAGGGTAGGAACCCCTGGCCAGAGAGACCTGGTCTGAGACTTTGGGACAGATGAGCTTGGAGGAGTGGGGCAGAGAGAGATTGAAGGGGACACCGCAGGGGCAGGTCACTGTGGGCAGATGCTCCTTGAAGGAGGCTGGAGAGCAGGGTGCTGTGGTTTGCTGAGAGCGGCGCTATTGTCTTAAAGATAATGCCTAAACCTGCTGTGGGCAGTGCTGCTGAGGAGAGAGGCGGGAAAGAAGAAAAAAATGTCACCCCCAGGGCACAGCGGGGGCCCTCTGAGATGGATCTCAGACTCTGTACCTCTCCCCTTTCCAATTCTCATCGGTCTTTAGTAAATTAGAAGATGCCAGTTTGTTAGTTTATGTTTTTTAAAGAGGAACTATGCCCACCTTCATTAAGTGAAGACAGTTAAATGTGAAATGGTATATCTTAAAATAAACCCTTCAACAGTCAACTCAACACCTTTCTTGGCATTCCAAAATCCTAGCAAAGTGCTTCTTTTCATTTAATTTTGTTTCTCTAGAAACAGAGTAGGCTACAGGTTTTGCAGTTTTACACTATTAATTTCTTTGCTCTTTGGACAGCTGATATATAGGTCCCTACATTAACTGCCAATAAAAATAAAGTACACCTCTGCTTTTCAGCTAAGAAGAATTTTTATGCAATTTCCTGTAAATGTTCAGGGTGGTGGGTATTTTAAAAAGCATAAAGGAATTAGACTTAAAAACAAATATATTTCAATTTTTATATTAAAGTGGTATAAAAATGGTAAAGCTGGTGGTGAGTGACTATGAAATTGTATAAAGACAGTTTAAATACTGATTGCTCTTGTTCCTTCAGCTTAAAAACCTAATTTATAGCAGATGCATGGACAGTAGATCAGATCAGATGGCTCACCGATGGCACCTGTTCTGTGTGCGAGGTAGGTATGTATGTGTGTGTGTGTGTGTGTGTGTGTGTGTGTGTGTGTGCATGTGTCTAGTTTACTGTATATACTTATTCTAACAGAGTAAAGCAAATTTAATGCATCCTCCAGAAATTATTAGACAATTTGTTTGCAATTAGTAACACCATAGTGAGTTAACAGTAGAATTTTTTAAAAATTCAGGTATATATGACCCCATCAGTTGAGACAGGCTTCCAGAAATAATGACAGGTCCATGTCTCTTCTGCTCTTGACAAACCATCTTGTCTGTTCTTCCCCACTCCTGTGTCCAGCTTCCTGTTGCCCAATTACTTGTCACAGACATTTATTTTGTGAAGAGTGTGTATTTTAAAGTGTTATTTAGGATTATTTTGACTGACATTATAGGCATTTCCATTCACTTGGGGGTTCAGGTAATTTGCTAATCGTGTAATATTTACTTCGGAGTTAGCTTTTACTTTTTAAAATATTTTTGTGCTCAATTAATGTGCAGCAAAATGATTTCTGTAGAACTGTACATTATTTAGAATAGCCATTCACATTTTGCATTAGGACATAGACATCCAAGTAAACGATGGTTAAAAATACTAAAATAAGTGAGTAAATAAACACATCTATTTTTGTTACTGTAAATATTTACAAAGGTATAAGTAATAAAAATTAGAAATTATAAATAACTTTCCAAGGAAAACATATCCAAAATATGTCCAAAAATATATCCAAAGAGTACTCTGTATTTGAAGATTCCTTCTAATTTTAGCATCAGAAAACTCTTGTCTTTCGTTATACAATGAACATTGTTTGTTCTTTTTTTTTAGTTGTTTTCTGTTAATTAAAGGAAAGCAGGAAGCTCACTTTTTTTTTTTTTTTTTTTTTTTTTTTTAGGCAGCATCTTCCTGGAGCTCCAGCTGGTTTGGAACGCCTCATGTAGAACAGGCTGGCCTCTAGTTCACAGAGATCCTCCCCTCTCCATCTCCTGTGCTAGGATTGAAGAATGTGCCACTGTGCCCTGCCTAGGAGCTCACGCTTTTAAAGATACAAAACAGTCAGAGATTTTTCTTTCAAAATGATTATCATATGCTTGGAATTCATGCCAGAATCTTCTGTCACCTCTCAGGCTGACACTAAAGATACAAGGCCCTAAAAATCAGCTGGGCATGTTAGCATAGCCCTGTAAATCCAGCTGAGGCAGGAGGACTGTTATGAGTTTGAGGTCACCTTGGGCTATGTGGTAAGACCCTGTCTTAAGAAGCCAAAACAACAAAAAAGGAAGAACAAAGAGAAAAGTCAAAGTTTAAAAGCAAGGCCAGTCTTGAGATAGCAGACACAAACTTAGAGCCAAATCTAAATGCACATACCACATGTAGAGAGTGCAATAGGCAGTTTGGAAATATCTTGTTTGATATAGCACAGTCTCAGCATGGAGAGGGGAGGTGGCACAAAGTGCTACCATTAGCTGAGAACTTATTGGCAATTGATAGCTGCTGGGATGGGGGGAGTCAGTTTTCTTTAAGGGTGTAGTCCTTGGTAGGTTAACCAAGCTGCACTGGATAGTCCACATCTATAAACTTACCGACAGCACATATTGTGGGTTTTTTTTGTTTTTGTTTTTGTTTTTGAATAAGGACACCAAGTTTGGTGGGTAGGGAAGGGGAAGTGAATCTGAGAGTTAGAAAAGGTTGATTATAATTAAAATACATTGTTTGAAATTGTCAAAGAATTAATAGAATATATAATTAAATCAAAATGGTGTTATAAAGTGTAGCTTTTCCTTTTTTTCCCTTATTTTAAAATAATTTGATTAATTAGATCAAATCAGATAAAGTAGACTATTGAATCTTTTTTTTCCCCTAACTCCTCAAAAGTGGAAATTTCCATTCATTTTCACCTGATTTATATTTGAAAGTGTGCACAGTATAAAGCAGGAACATTTTCAACATTAAAAAGTAGCTACCTAAAATATCATTAGTCTTCGATACAGAATAAATTTATTCCCAAGTACAATGGTATTCCTTCTGGCATACTATACCCCTAATAACATGTACATTTATATTTAAATGGAGATTATCTAAATTCATCCTCTCTTCAAACTCCCAAACAGGGAGTTATTATCTACTGAATTCCTGAGAATTGCTTCCTTGTGAACTCTTGTTTCCTGGAATTTTTGCCTTGGGCTAATATTATACCTGGTTGAACATCTGCTAAGATAAAGGTGCAGCTATGTGCACTCTGAGGGACCAGGGGAGAAAAGCCATTTGACCTTTTCTGTTGAGGGCTCAGAACTTCATTAAAGCACCTCTTGGGATTGCAGTCGTAACCATGAGAAAGACATCGTTTGTAATTAAGTCCTTCCCACTGGCTATATTCCTGTTGAACTCAATGATTAAAATACAAATTCAATATTCTAAATGGCCACAAAGCATTTGATAAAAGGTTACTTTACTTTTAATGCAATGGGGAAAGAGGACTTTCCAAGGACCTACTTTTTGTGCTCACTCTCAGCAAGTGTCCTGCAGACAGACTCTTCAAAAGGGCAAATTAAATAATTAGGCAATAAATTGTTCAAATGTTAAGAGTGGTACTGTTCCAGAAGCTGGTAAGTCCAAATGAATATCACATGGAGTGATAAATAGCCTCAACTCTAGAGAACTGCATGCCTGCATGTGCCCGTATTTGTTTGTTGAATTGCCTTGGGTTCCACAGGACCATTCATCACTTTTCCCTTAACCGTCTGTTCTCTCAGTGTTTCTTCTCTCCAGAATGCCCAACCTGTTCCTTCATTTTTTTCCAAGAAATTATCATGCATTTCATTACTGACTGCATTCTCCTCATTCTGCACAAAGGCTTGCATTCATTCCCATTTCTTTTTTTTTAATTACTAGATTTAAATTTACATAATGAGAAATAAAGACAAAATACATCAGAATAAAATTGAAACTCA